GGCTTACCTGGACAGGTTGGTGGCTTACCTGGACAGGTTAGAGGCTTACCTGGACAGGTTGGTGCTTACCTGGACAGGTTGGTGGCTTACCTGGACAGGTTGGAGGCTTACCTGGACAGGTCTGTGGCTTACCTGGACAGGTTGGTGGCCAGAGCGTTCAGCAGCTCTGCGTGTCTCTCCGCCTCCTCCACGACTGCCATTTTGGAGCCGGTCAGAGTGAAGTTTTGCACCTTCTTGGCCAAAAGCGACCGGGCTCCGTCCAGTTGGGCTTCCGAGTCTGCGTACTCCTAAAAAAACAACAGGAAGTGTTAAACGGGAAGGATTTGTAAACGATGCGCTTACAAAGTGGGATCAATCTTCAAAATTTGGGCAGAAATGTTTTTCGGGACTAGTGAAATCAGTTTTCTGTGACATCAGGACCATCTCTCCACTAGATAATCACGAGAGAAATAATGAGAAGAGCTTTATAAAGTTCAGATCAGTACTGTTTTAATGCTTATTTGCAAGATTAGAAGAAAATAATCATAATGGAGTGACATAGAGATGGATGTTTTTCTTCCTTTTTTATTGTTTTCGTCTTTTTCATGTTTTTTATTTTAATTTGATCCTTTTATTTTCTATAGTTACTTTATTCCCCATCACTTTGTTGACCGTTTCCTGCTGGACCAGACAAAACACAAGTCCAACTCTGAGGTGACACACTTCCTCTGTCAGTGATGCACGGCCATGGAGTGAATGTGTGTGTGTGTGTGTGTGTGTTGGTTGGGTGGGGGGGTTACTTCATTACCTCTCCCCATTCACATGGAATATGGAACAGAGTGGAGTGGACAGTCCCTCGTTCTGAGAACTAACAAACCATGAGCATTTTTCCATACTTTCATGTGACAGCAGTACAGTAGAATCTCTAGATACGAATTTAATTCATTCCGGGACATATTGGTATGTTAAAATATTCCTATGTTGGTTCAAATATTCCCATCAGAATACACTGTAATTCCTATAATTTGTTCCAAAAACCTACGATAACTCCTTAATAAATATTGCAGATAATTACACATACCAATAAAAACAAATCACTTAGTTGAGAGAGATGTAAAAATAAATAAATTATAAAGAAATAATTAATAAAATGGGTTTTTTATTGGCACTTATTTGCGAACAGAGGTGTAGGCTTAGTGATGCAGGAGGAGAAGGAGGGGACGGTGGGTGTGGAGGTAGAGGTGGAGACTCAGATACAGGATGTACCCTAACTAGCTCTAACTTTCACAACGTGAACTTTAAACTAACTTATAGTTATTACATTTTTTAATTCTGTGAAGTCTAACACAGGATGAAGTTCAATTTATTCTTGTTTGAGCACGATCCCAGACTACCTCAAGCGTTCATTTTTACATTCTTTATATATGTTTTTATATTACTTCGACGTCATATGGTATATGTTGGAAATTGATTGGAAATCGGGTCGAATATTTGATCGAATTTTACTTCGGATGTTGGAAAATTCGTATGTTTGGGCAGTCGTAAGTAGAGGTTGTGGTGTGTTTTTTTCCTGGTTCTGACCTGCTTGTACTGGTAGAGCGTAGCCATCACCGAGTTGACCTTAGCGAGGTCCTCTCCAGCCTCGGCCAGCAGCCCGTTGACCTCGCCCTGCCCCAGCAG